CCCAAGGAGAAAAGCTTTGTAACCCTCTATGGCAGGCTCTAAGGCTCTTGGGTGCAAGATAGTCTGTAGAGCATTCATATGCCATTTACAGACATATAATACATACTATATAAGTGCGGAGTTGGGGCCTTGTTGAAGCTAAGAGTCATGGTCATGCGAAGTTGATGTTGAGTTGTGCTTGATCATTTGTTCACAAGCCTCCAAATGCCTACAGCGTGGGTTTAGGGTTTATAGGGTTAATATTCCCAAGGGCCTAGAGTGTCGGTTTAGGGTTTTTCGGGTGAATATTCCCAAAAAAGCCAAAGCCCGAGAGGAGTTCGAGCCGCGGGGGTTCCAGACGAGCCGCGTCTCTCCAGTCTCCTGGCTGCGACTTCGGGCGCTTTGCAGAAGGGTGGGGTGTGTTTGTTTTGGGTTCACGTGGTAGTTTAGGGTTGATAAGGGTTTAGGGTTTATAGGGTTTAGGGTCGTTGGGGTTCCGGACCATGTTGTTCTCTGATGTTCTCGTTGAGCTTCGCCCGGGAGGTGTGTTGCTGCGGGTTGTCCCGAATCCTGGTCATGTATATGCACGCTACACTGAACATGGGCAACTATAATGAACTTTAATGAACAAGAGTTACTCTCAAGGTAGCCCTCATTGGAAGAAGGCTTACAATCGAGTGCATTTCACAGGCTCTGTAGGCTCTGCGGTCCCGGAATTCGATTAAGAAGGGGGGTTTGGAATGCAGAAGCTCACTAAGACGTTGTCTGCGGCGTGCCTATTGGCACATTGCAGCTTGACAACATGCTAGCAAGTTTCAAGTTTGGCAGGCATTTTTCAGTTGATCGCTGCATGTCTCCTATCCAAGCTCGCAATAATTAAACAAACTATACCCTTAAGCATCGAACGTAAATCCTGAACGAACTACTCACAAGGCTCAGTGCTCCTCAGCTTTCAAAACCCGTTGAATCGCCCATGGGCCGACCTACCAAAAACTCATCCCGCATTCCAAACCCTAGCCCTGCCTTGCCCCTCCGCAACACCTCAGTATTATTGTTCCTCGGCTCGCTGCGACTGTGAGCCCTGACCTAACCCCCCAAGTCTAAACCCCACGAGAACAAGCGCAGGCTCTCGACCGCCTGTCGCCGGGAGACTTGGTGTTTGGGCATGCGTCCCCTTAAGTTCGCGTGGTTTGGGTTCCTCGACGCAGGATGTGCCTGGCCATGTCTGGCATTGCCAGATCCGCGAAACAGAATCAAGCATGCAAGAGTCTGCTCTTCTGAGCTGCTTGCTGCTTGTTCACTCACCTCAAGCTTGTAAACCCTGCATTGCCCTACCTGCCTCATACACCCTACCTGGACCCCAAAAGTATGTAGAATAATAGCATGTTTTATGGGTTTGGGGCCATTATTTTTACCTACTTTAGGGGGTTTAGGTGCCATTGGTTCACCTCGAGCCCAGGTCGACTGAAGGGACGCTGCTCCCAGGTCTGAAAAGCTTGCGGCAGAAGGCCTCAGGGGATGCTTGGTGTTTAGGGTCATGTAGGTTGCAGCAGTGTCCAAGGGATTGGGGAAGCAAGGGCATCTTGACTTGAAGCGAAGCTAAAGATACCCTGCATTGCAGGCTCAAGCCCTGCGACCGCATTGCAGCTTCAGGGATGAAGCCCTCACACGAGTACCAACTCGACTGGCAAGAAGCGCTGCACCGCGACCTTGTTTCGATGGGCTCCAGGTGCGTATGCAGGAGCCGAAGTCACACATGATGCCCGACGTGCAGGATGCGCAGCTGCCTCGTCCAGGGAATAGTTTATTTCTTTACAGCTTCAGGCTTCGAACTATTTACGGTCATAAGCCGAAACTGAGGGGGCGCTTCCCGGGGTACTCAAAATGTAGGGAAGACCTGCCAGTTTGATTTCCCCGCGACCCCTAGACCCTAAGTGTGCCTTGTTTCGAGTGAATAAGCTTCAACAGCCAACAAAGCAGAGACCAATAAACCATGTCATCCAAGCCCCGATGATTCCGAAGATGCGAAAAATGAATTCTGGGATGACCATGTGGTTCACTGAGCTGTTGCATGTCGCTTTTTGCATTGTGACTAATGCTGACTCTTGTGGTCAATGTTGCTTATACAGCGTGCACATGTATGCGTATTATTTTGCTATGTGTGTATATATTGATATATGCACGCATACAGGCATATGCCTCCACTTTTTGGTTAACACGCACAAGTGTGAGTGCGGAGACACACGTGAGCGGCCAATGTTTTAATCTACTAGTACGCGATGACTACACAGTGGCCGTTCTTATGACTACACAGTGGATGTTCTGTCTTGAGTTGTTTCTTGCAGGGGACAATGCCTGCGCCTATGCCAGACCTGCCAATTCCAACGCAGCGTGTGGAAATCCGCACTCGTTTGGAGCTAGTCATGGCGACGGTGAGCCGTCTGAGCGCTGCCTGCATATATAAATCCCCACCTTTGAAAACACATGCGTGCATGCTTGACATACATACACACCTTACATGCATCCATGCATCCACATCCATCCATGCATGCATACACCTAGCTCTGCGCGTTTGTCACTACATGTGCAGGTGGACAGTGTCGGTAGTTACATAAGGTCGACCACGAGGACGAAGCCCAAAGTCGAAGAGAGGCCTTGTGCTACAGTGGTGGACGACTTCTGTGGGGGACAAGATTCGATTTCGTGTTCATGCATGTTCTCGTGTTGCAGGCAACCTGGAGCAGTAATTTCGAACATGGACTTGGCGTTGTACTTCGGGGCTTGGGAGGGAACGCGGGGGATGATTGAAACTCAGCTCAGGATCTAGCTTAGGGCTCGAGGTGGCATGTTTCCTGCCTCGTAAGAAGGAGTGCAAGAATGCACTGTTTGGCAGTTGCCCAAAGGGTCATCCACAGTTCACATCACATGCTTGCTAACAGGAGATATCAGCTATGTTCATCATGCAAGGCTCTGGCCCTTGGGCCCCATATCGTTTGCACATTTCTAATTCTAAGCCCTGAAGTGAAGATCCCCAGCAAGACTGTCCAAGGCGGGCCTCCAACCCTCCTTCCGGGGTCGTGAAGGCACGGAGAAAGCACTGCGGGCTTGAGCCTCTTTAGTTGAAGAAGTGGGGGGCAACCCGAAACCCCTGTACCCCGGAGCATCATATGCCTTGTATTTCCGGCAAAACCGTGGTTGGTGGCAGAGGCTTCGGGCATGGCAAGTGGATTGCTCCATAGACTGTTGTTCGTGGTGCTGCAGACTTTGATGGTCTTTGAGGGTAAGACTAGGCCTCGTGCAGAGGTGGTTTTACACTTGAGATTGGGCTGATTTTTTCGTCCCTGTGCCGTCTAGACAGGTATCGATCTTTGGCAGTTGGCACCTGAAGCATCTGCTATGGTCTGCAGCACAAGATACGTGCCTGATTGTGTCTTTTGGTCGTGGGTGATTGGACACCTGGATTGGCTTTCTGCTTCAAGGCTTTTTTGGTCCAAGGCGGTTAAGCCGCTAACAAGTTCGAGAGTTCAGCTGGAGATCGCTGGATGCCACAGGGCCGCCAGGGATCCAAGGGCAGCGGCGACGTTGCCAGCCAGAGCAGCGGTCTCAGTGCAAGAGGCCTTTGAGAGCAAACAGTGTTCCAGCAGAGAACACCAGGGAGCAACTATAGTAGCTAGAGGGTTCCGTCAGGCCAACCTGGGTCGAAATTCAAGTGCCAGATTCTGAAAGCGAACGAGGGTGCCGACTTCGGTGCACACGAACATTCTATTTGTGTCTTCTCGCGAACGTTTTTCTTGCACAAGACGATGCTGGTCTGCTTGGTCGCTCTGGCCAGTCACGCTCCCTCTCTCTCTCTCTCGTCACTTGTCTCTAACTCTCTCCCTCTCTGCTCGTCCTTCGAAGACCCACAGACCTCACAGTTAATGCGGGCAGTGTCGATGATGAAGGTACAGAGGATGAAGATGATGATGGTGAGATATGGTGAGGAGCAGGACCAGAACGAGAAGCCGTTGACGACGGCTGATGATGGACAACTTCGACCTGAGGCCAATCCCAGAACTGCTTCACTGGAGCAGGGGGGGCCGGAGCCTTGAAAGCGGGTGGGGACTGGGGATTTCAAGCGTCTTTGGGTCTGTCATCCTACAAGTTAAACTCAAGCTTGGCACCTTATAATTGTTAGAATAGTCCGGCCTAAACCCTGAACCTGGTTTCTCTTGTCTTCTTACAGTCTTCTATCAATCCTCTCGGGCTTTCGAGTGTAGGCTCTTTAGGGCGCTCAGGGTCCAGGTCCTGTGGGACGGTTTGGGATTTGGTCCGCTTGATTTGCAGCACTCTGCATCTGGGATTCCTAGAATTGGTTTGGATGTGTCACTTCAGACTTTCGGCAGGGAAAACCTTGAGTTGTGTTCTTGGACACCTGGACAGACGAGTTCATCGATCGGCATACCCCAGCGTCGCCACATGAACACGTGGCCAAACAGACACGTGCACTCTGCTTTTCGTGCCGGGTTGGCTCAGCAAGAGAATTCACATACCCTCGTCTGTGCTGTCTCTGTCTGTGACCCCTCGCATGTATAGTCTCGCGCGGCAGCACCCGACATTCGTTCAAAGGTCCTCAAGACAAGCCTGACATCGCGATCCCGGCAATCAAGCAGAGCAAAATCAACAGCTGAAGCTCTAATGTCGTGAACGTAGCGAATTTGGGAAGGTTCTGCTTACAGCACCATCTATTGTCATCCCTGGCTTGAGCAGACATCGAGCATTCAACCTTGCTTGTTGGGATTTAGGGGCGGGGCCAGCCACAGAGCCCGCTGATATGGGCCGGACTTCGCATCAACAAACCTTATAAACGACAGACGGTACTCGCTTCCTTGCTTAGGGTTTTTAACCCGCCAGACATACGAAGTACTCCTAGAGCCGCACTCAAACCCTGAAACCCTGCTCTTGAAAGCTTGGTAAAGTTAGTAAAGTCTTATAGACTTACAACTAAAATCCTCAAGTACTCCTCCCTCTTGGCATCCAACATGGATGCTTTTTCCTCGGCGGAAGCGAAGCGATTTCGGCAGAGGCACCGGGGATGGGTGTTTTGCTGGAACCCGCCCTGTCACTTGTTTTCGCAATGTTCATGCGTGACTTTCTTGACGTTCAGAAGCTTTGGGGATCTGCTCACCAGGATGATCTTCCACTGCGCGACAACGGTGGGCTTCACGTGTGCTGCGGCGGCCCTGGCCATCCTGCAAATACTGTATGGTAAGCCATGCTGGCTCCACGCTGAAACATCCCCTCTTCTTGTGACAATGGACCGTCCCCATCGAATAGGACAGGTGCCAGTGACCACCAAGCGAGCTGGAAGTTGTAAAGCCCATCACTCTGCGTTTTCCCACCCAACCCAGCTCCTCTTGAACGAGGCATAAGTTGCCAGGCTGCCAGGGACCCCCACTCACAGGGTAGAGTAGAGATGAGTGGAGTGTAGAGCCCACACCCAGCAGCACTGAGAATCTTGGGTCCAGATACCCAAAGAGCACACTGCGGAGTTTTTGCCAGCGTGGTGCTATTCGCCTTCGTAGCATGTTTCGTACGTACGTATTGGTATGCGGATGCACGCATTGTTCTACACGTGTAGCGTAAGGACGCACTGCTAATGTGCCAATGCACAGCAGGTCTTGCTCGACCAAGCATAGTATCGCGCACATCTTCTCCTCGTGCAAGCATCCTGAACTCAGGAGCCCGCAGTCCCCATGCAGAATGCAGACAAAGATAGACTGACACACACTTACACCAAAGAGATCCGATTACCATAATAGGAATTGTAAAACAATTTTGCTATCACAAGCACTCAGGTCTACTTGATGGGAGTGCTGCGGGCAGTTCTCGAGCCCTTCTTTTGGGCTCTCTTCCTGGTCACCGCGCTGGTGCCGTTAGCTAGGCACCACCCTAGAAGTCCTTCAGCGAACCTAGCAATGCCCGCAGCACCTGATAGAGACCAAGCATGTAGGCAAAGCTGCGACCCGATGGAAAACTCCAAGCTCGAAATGCCTACACCCCTTAGACTCATTCGGACATGCTGGGCTTGAGTTGTGAGGACGAGAGAGCGATTCTGCTGCTTGTCATCTTCCGCATGTAGTTCTAACTGTGGCAATGTCAAGGTATTTGGTATAATTACCCACTTTCGCATGGGTCTGTTTACTGGTGTGGAGTTGCCTGCACGCAGGTTTTTTGAATGCATACTTCTGCAAGCGACTCGTGCAGCAGTGCTCCTTCTAATGCGCTGAGCTGTTGTTTTAGTAAAGCGGAAACAGTGGTCTCACACTTGCTGCAGCAACTAGCGACGGCACAAGTTGCACATGGGAGGGCGGCATCCTGTCATTTCGGTACAAGAAGTGGAGAGAAGCATCGAGGCATAGATGCAGTTGTGCATCTGATATTGTATTATATGCATCCGCATGTGGGTGTCCCCTGAGTCCTAAGTACAACGTAATTCCTGGCATTTCACGGCGACGCAACATACTGTAAATGATGTAAGGTTATAATTCGTGACGACAGGCTATTTATCATGCACTATATGAACTTGTATATATATATGTATATATATATGTATATATATATGGGTATATACATACACACAAATGTCATCTCTCTCTCTCTCTCAATTTCTTTCCGCAAATACATGTATATATATATATTTATTTATATTTATTTATATATGCTTGCATACATTCACAAAGAGCACACGCACATTTGCACATGCTTGCGCAAGCAAGCAAGCTGCCAAGTGACGGCAGCCAGTGAGCATATCTGCACGGCACGCAGATGCTATCTATGCATATGGGTCATCCGGATAGGCAGAAGCGGGATTGATAGACGGATGGGTACATTTACGTATAAACAGATAGACATTGCGCAGCGATTGACAGGTCGGTTGACCGATAGATAGATAGATAGACAGATGCACGGGTAGATCGACACATGTTGCGTCTGCGCTGTACATATGTGCATGTGTGACTGAACGGGTGGATGAACGAGTCTATGGAGTTGCGTGCATCCGTAGCTGCATATGTCTGCACACAGGTACAAGGAAATAGCGATTGGAATGAGAGAGGTGTGCACATGCACGTGCTCTCTGCGTACGCACATACGATGCAATGTGCCGCAAACGAGCCAGAGAAGACAGTGAGAGAAGGGAGAGGTAGACCAAGCAGAGCAAAAGAAGAGAGTCCTGCCGAGGTCGGACAGCTCTTCTGCGGGCGCTTCAGCCATAGCCGGCCCAGGATTAGCGATGCCCACTTGCGTTGTTTGGTCACGACTTTCTGGGGGGGCTGCATGGGCTGTTTTATGAGACTTCCATTACATTACACGGCTCGAAACTGCTGCTCGCGAGTGAGGAAGGAAATCCTGTGCAGATGTTTACGATCGCGCGTGTGTAACTCTAAACTGGTTGGAACACCGTAACTTGATGCAATGCACAGAAGACTTGCGTATCGTTGCAGTTTCCTGGCCCTACTCTTCCATTTTACACATCCCATGGAGCCAGAATCCCGGAAGTAGTTATGGTGCTCAGGCAGTGCCTTGAATGTTAGACTGTCAAACAGAGGATTGGCGGGATGTGCACGCTTGTACCAGCCTGAGCCTCCAACCAAACTCAAACCATTGAAACCTCTGAAACCTCGAAACCTGCACGGGTCACTTGGTTGTGTGAGAGCTCCTTTTGCTGGTGCTCGGGGCTTCAGCTGGCTCAAACTGGCGTGTTGTGAGCAGCTTCCAAAATGCGACTCGGCAGCAGGAATCCTGAGAGCATACATCCCTAACCTCCCAGGTACCTACTATATATAGGGTACTAGGACCCCTAGGGCCCTATATAGTAGGTACCTGGGAGGTTAGGGCATGGTCGAATCACCGTCTGAGTGGACCAGGATGCATTGTTTACGTTACTGGTTGCAGAAGGGTTTTTGTTTCCTTGAGGTAGGTGGGTTTTCGCTTCTGCAGCCGCTCTGAAGGGAATAGGAGTCGCCAAGGTCCCGCAGCAAGCTTTTGGGATGCTTGTTGATTGCGAGTTCTCGCCCTCCACCCCACACATTCGAATCCTGCACTTTCGGAAACCGAACAGAGCTGTACAGACCCGGGGCGGCGAAGAGGTGTAGCATAAGGACAGCCTGTCCCGATCTGAAACCTTGTCGTCAGGGTTCATGGGGACCTACACCTCCGCAGGACAGGCTTCAAGAAGGTGTGCTTAGCAACTCAGGTCGCGCCCGCCAAGCAGCCTCCGGAGTGGCGGCGGCGGCGACCGTTCCACAGCGGGTTTCATACTTGTCTTCACGGGTCAGTGGGGTGCATTGTAAGAGGATGCGAGTGCTCGAACCCGGGATCAAGCAATTATTTGTCTAGGTGTGAACCGGAATGAGGTTGCAGTTAAATTGAAGGGAGAGGCACTTGCGTTCCCTCTGGCCGATGGCTTTGCATGGCTGTGCTTGTGCGTCGCTGCGATGCAACAATGGTCCGGCTTCAGCAAGTGCTTCCACTTTGCGGATCCAGGCCAGTGTCCCGTGGTGCTAATGCGAGCATTTGCCCAGCACGTCGCGGGAAGAGTGCAGGCGTACAGCCAAGTTTGGCCCACCTTCCCAGATTCTGGTGGAAAACTGATGCCTGCCTGATGCACACCGGCACCAAACCGTCCCTGAAGCGGCTTCACACCCCCAGGGCATCTGACGTGCTCAGCGCTAACCGAGCTTGCCTTCGACTCTTTCCCGCTGTCAGTCTGGAGCGGAGCACAGGACACGGGCTGGCATGTATCGATGCAGCATGAAGTTGGACCGAAGATTTACATCAGGAAGCAACCCAACCACAATCCGGATCCCGTCACAGTCCTGTCACAGACATCTCGCGAGGAAAAGGTAAGCATGACACCGACTCTGTCTTGGCCCACTCTTCGTGCGAACATGAGAGGGTTTTGGGTCCGCAACGAGTAGGTCTCTCGTGGTTGACGCCCAAGGAGCAAACCTTGCTCGATTGAAGGCCACGCTCTCTGGGCAGTTTTGCGCTTTCCCTAAAGCAAGAGCACCTGGAAGCATGAACACCTCAGTCAGACTCCGAACTGAGTGGCGAAGGCGAAGGGGAGTTATGCGATGAGTATACGGCATGGTGACAAAAAAGGAATGTTTGACACACTAGTGCCAGCATCGGGAAGTTATGGACTTGTGCTGACCTGTCGTCCCGACCCCACCTTAGATACACATCCTGGAATAGCCAAGGCTTTCAGAATCTCTTGGTACAGCTGCAAGAGGACAGTGCCTGCGTTGACATGTCAGGTCAACTTTGTTTGCTTTCCATAAACCAAGGAACGAAGTGCGGGTTAGGAGCTCAGTGCTCATGTTCGAGCTGTATGCCACTGGATCCTTGTAGGAGCTCTTGTCACTAGGAAGGTTGGATACGTCAGCTGGCATTGCAGTGCCCCCTGACTTGAACTTGCAGTTGTGCTTCGATACGCTTCGTACTTCGTACCATTCCTTCCGCGATCTGTATGCTGACCGTCGATGGCGTTGTCCTGCAATACAGCCTTTCTGAAGAAGAACTCTCCAAGCAGTTCCCTGTTTGGCAAGGGCTCTCATCAAATGTTTACAGACGCAGGAGTACGAGAGAGAGGTCCGGCGTCTGAAGGCAGGCCGCTTTTCATTGCCGCCCGCATCGCAACTTTTCTCACCTCTGTGAATGGGGGCTTAAGTAAGAATTCGAAGGACTTGAAACTTTTCCCAGTGCAGTAGGAGCCGCAGCCTGTACTGTAATAGTCATCAACCTCGTCCGAGATCTTCAAGAGCCAGGCTGCAGAGATCCGGACTCTTAGCAGCTAGTTTCAGAACTTGTGATGCCGGGAATCCGTATTACTATATACTGCTACTGGTGTGACTGTCATTGTTCTTTTTTTCTGCGCTTGGTAACAGCATGGCAGGTCATCGCTGGCTTTGTCGTGGAGTTATGTCCTGCATGCTCATTGCTGCGCGGGTTGCTTGTACTAGGTTGCTGCCGATGCTCCTGCTCGCACTGATGGTGATCATGACATGATGATGACCATGATGATGATGCCTCATGATGACAAGGCCGATGAAGCGCCCGTTCCTTAAACCTTCAACACTACAGCGAAAACACTGTAAACCCTCAATGTTGAAGTTTTGGCCTTGAGCCCGTCACCTTGGACGTCAGGGGCCATCGGCCGTAGGCATTCTAGTGCGTTCGCAGAATAGAGCACCCATGTCCCAACCATAATTGACGTCCATGTTCTAGTGCGTTCGGAGAACTGAGCGCCCATGTCCCAACCATAATGACGGCCATGTTCTAGTGCTTTGGGAGAACTGAGCACCCATGTCCCAACCACAGCGACGTCCATGTTCTAGTGCTTTCGGACAACAGAGCACCCGTGTCCCAACCATAATGACGTCCATGTTCTAGTGCGTTCCGAGAACAGAGCATCCATGTCCCTCAGTGTTCTGTGCAGACAAAGTCTCTCCCACCATAGCCTGGACAGACATGTCCTGGCTCGGCGTGGTAGAGTGACGGCAGTTCACACGCAAAATGAGGGTTTTCGTGCGGCAATTGCTCGAAGCATTCCCATTATACTACGACTACGAATTCCAAATTTCGACCTCCCACATCGACCCTTCCAAACCGGTTGCAACAATAGCACATCAACAGTTTCTCCTGCCGTCCACAGTACTGCCTGTTTTGTCTCGTGCCTGCCAGCGTCTTCGAGGTGCCTGACACACGTGATGAAACCCAACACTCACCATGCGAGCAACAACTTGGCAAAAACATTCTTGAAACAAACCGTCTTCACCACAAACTTCGGGGCAAACGTGCCCAACGCGCCATTGTACTAGCACAGAGTGGATTGCACCCTGGAGGCGGACAACGAACGCTTGCTCGATGAGGCTGTGCATTGAGTGGGATCTATATGTTCTATATATATATATATATCTATTTATAAATACATCATGTGTATAACATGATGTGTGTGTACATACATATATATATAACTGTCTTTGCAAAAAGGAGAGAGATAGGGAGAAAGAAAGGGACTCTTGCGACTGCTTGTTGTTGCCTTCCTTTACAAGCCCCTTCGGGGCCCAAACACGGGCACCGGACTTTAAATGTCCTCCGGCGCCCCAGCCCGTGTGTAGCCTAGTCCATCCAACCAAAATGGTGGATGAGGCCGCTCTGGCGAGCGGGGGGTGGGGACGGCCCATCATCCTTTCCCCGGAGCAAAGCAAGACAAAGAGGAAGAGTCTGGGTGCTGGTCTTCGAATTCGATACGGGAATAAGATCGAGAGGGGTTGAGGGCACGGGCAGAATGAGGTCAGATCGTTTGTCTTTAGCTGTGCTGGGAAAGGGAGAGACAGGAGGGAGAGAACAAAAACAACAAGAGAAAGAGGAAGGCTTCGCGAGAATCTTGCGAGAGCGTGCAGAGGCAGAGGGAGAGAGTGGATGACAGCGGACGTCACCGCCAATTGCCAACAGCCCCAGGTTCGTCGTTTAGGCGGCAATTCTGCATCCCAGGACTGCGTGTGAGTGCATGGATGTGAGCTCTCAGATGGCGGCATTTGGAAAATCTCTGACGGGAAACCCCCAAAGACACAAAACGAGAGTCACAATGCTAGCTGCGTCGCACCGGGACAGATTGACATTGAAGTAAAGGCATGTGCAAGCATGTGGTTTGTTACAACTGCTTCAATAAGAATCTGTATACCTTCGCAAATTCCCGCACTGAAGCCCTGTTCGCATGCCCTTAACCTGAGCCTGGTCACGGGCCTCACCGAGACGTGGAAGAGTCGCCGTCGTGAGGGCGTAAATATACTGCAATGCTCTGTTAAGCCGGATCCCCGAGCCCTGTGTTAGTCTGTTAGCCTCAGGTAAGCATTCTCGAGCCTTGTTAAAGCGTGTTGTTTGGGCTTGCAGGGTCAATAGGATGAATAGGTCTTGACGCATGTAGGATTTGTGGCTGTGTGGCTGAATAAGGTTTAGGGTTTTGTGGTTTCTGGGTGGAGGGTGTGATGAGGAAAGGTTGAGCGTTTGTAGGCTTGGGGTTTAAAAGCTTTGTGTCTTTGAATTGGATGTCAGCTTTCTGTGGTTTAGGGGTGTATGCAACGACGGCAGTTGCAAGTCACCACTGACATGTAACCCGGCCACTATGTGGAGCTGGACATTGCGAATAATAAGATATTATGTAGTCAGCCTTAAACCCAAACTATATTACAAAGCAACATATCATATTTTTTGATTACAGTATTTTCGATTATACGCTATGATTAGCTATGTTTTACGACATCATGTTCTAACGTTCTATATTATACTAGATTGAATTATATTATAAGTATATTGTACTAACAATATTGCGCTGGAAGGAGCTCCGGCAGGTTGCGCTTCCGCATGCCGAAGCACCCAAGGTGGGACACTGGCGAACTTGCTTTGGTTGATCGCGTTTCTCGTTGAGCATTCGTGGAGGTTTGGGGCAAACCACCCTGAACCCTGCAGTAGGTAGGCGTGGAGCCATTGGAAGAAACAGCCAAATCTAAATGGCTGCATGAAAGCATGCAGAATCGCCCTGGAAGGTTAAAACGCTAAACAATAGCCTGCAAACCCTCGCAGCATCAGCCTTAGCTTGATACATTTAGAAAATCTTGAAGTCATAAACGCAAACCTGCTCTCCAAGCGAAAAGAAGTCTACGGCGACCCAGACCCTGAAGCTTTCGGCGACGTTTCACCGGGTGGCGCGCAATACCCGACGCCCGAGATATCAATTCAGCACCGCAAGTTCAGCTAGGCAGGTAACCACCTTGCATTCAAGTGATTACAACGAAGTCTAAATCGGGAAGCTGCTTAACCCAATACCCCAAAGCAAAAATGCAACCCAACAGGTCATGTTGGAGAGCTTGGGCAAATCAGAGGACCTCAGCTCCAGCGAGCCTGCCGAGAGCATCTTTGTGGAGGTGGGCGGTCATTGGACTACTGCTAGGAGCAGTTTGCGGGTTTTGGTGCTTTAGGTTTTACACGGTTTCCAGGTGGGAAGGATCCTGAAGCTTTCAAGGCCCACGCCTACGTCTATATTTCTTCTCTCACTCTTCCTCGAAGTCTCAGTCTCTCTCTCTCTCTCTCTCTATTCTCTCATTCTCTCTCTCTCTCTCTCTCTGTTTATATATATATATATACAAAGACACACACATACAAACATACGTGCACGTACATACATATACATGTGTATGCAGTGTTTATGCTACAACATCGCCTAGCTATTGAATAGCTATTGCACGGATACAGCACCTCCGTATGCATGTAGATACACGCGCATGCATTTCCATGTCATATCAGTGTATACATAACTACGTATACATGTGTATGTGGATGTGCATATGCATACATGTAGAATAGTCGAGGTTGTGATATTCACATCAATGAAACTGCTCAACCACCCGGCCGAGCGTTTTAGCTTTGCACCTTCAGTTGCATGCTGCCGCACCTTCTTTCCCTGTATGACTACTAGCCCCTTGAGTCTACCACTATACTATAAACAGACACACACACACAGACCTATAGATAGATAGATAGATAGATATATGCATGTGCTTCTAGTGTTGTGATATGCTTCGTGTCGTGGTTTGTTTAGCTGCAGTCCCATGACATCTAGCAACCCTTGTTCAACCTCACACCAACCAGTCAGTATCAGACCAAGCAAAGAAAGGAGCCTCAATATTTTGCCACTCTGGAATTGCTTGACCGTGCCTGCATCTTACAGCCGAAAACCCTGTTCCAATTTTCCTGGGCTGCGGCCTGTGCATCAATCAGCGTGGCCTTTGCATCAATCGGCGTGGCATCCCAAGGTAACTCTTCACGGTCTCAAAGGCTTGCCTCAGGAGCCCCGGACGCAGTTGCAGCGGACTTGCCCATGCTTGAACCCTAAGGTAGTTTGAGCTGCGGGTTACCGGCGATTCATCATTCCTTAGCCTGCACCAGGAACTCAGGAGGTGCATAGATGATGTTGTGTTCGCACTCCAACAGTCTCAGGAGCTGGTGTCCAATGCAGTGGCACAGCTTTCCGGAGGAGAGGGGCTAAGATGCCAGGCAGTCGCTCGGGTCGGTGCAGAGCAAGCCAGATCGGAGTGGCTGCCTTTGCAGAGAGAGATGTGGAAGGCGAACCCGAATTCCGTCGGCAGCGGTGAGGTGACGTGGGAAGGAATTTGGGAATCGACCGGTGTCCTGAACCTCTGCATTCCCTCCAATACCCAGACAATCACGGTGGAATTGTGGCTACCCGGTCAGAAACAGGCAATGGCGACCGCTAACATCCGCATGGGAGCTAGCAGGCAAGCGTGGAAGTTTGACAGTGGCGGCTTTTTGGAGGCTGAAGCAAATGGAGGTGCCAAACGCAAAGGCAACAGGATGTCCCCCAGGATGGCGTCCCTGGAATCTGGCGACCGGCTCAAGTTCATCACTCCCCAGGCGAGCACCATCAGCAAACTTCGGAAGTTGTTCAGGGTGCGCGATGAAGCGGCCAAGGTGGTGATGGCTCGAGACCTTGCCAACGCGCTGAAGACGACGATGCACAGGCACAAGCACCTGCAAGTGCCCTTGGAGCAGACACAACTCGAGGAAGTGATGCACAAGCTGAAGGACGTCCATTCCGAAGCCTTTGATACCGAGCCGGTGAAACCGGGCTCCCATGGGCCTTCGATCATGCCTTGGAAGGGATTCCTGAACTGCTTGCTGCTGGAGAAGCTTCCGGACTACGCAACGGATCAGCTCGCTCTCCGTCTGTTCATCATCCAGAAGTGCTTGCTTGGTGATGACTGCCCTACCAACATGACCTCCCAGGTTCTCATGCAGGCCTACGACCAGGCCGGGGCTTTTTAAAATCCCAGGGTAGTGGACCCTATGCACACTATGACAGGTCAGAAAGCCTGTCACGCATTGGGAGAGAACCGTGCTGATTGTGACCGCAGTCTCCACAATGTTGATTGCATGCAGCTTCATTGCGACAGGCAGGACTGTGCCTGTGCTGGTGCAGATAGTGGGTGACTTCAGTGCTTTTGTTGGTCAATGCATCCCAACCATCTGACTCATGGTGAAGGCATCATGCGCCTTGCAGACCTTTCACAGGTGTGAGAAGCGTTGTCAGGTCAGAAACCTGCTTAGCAGGCTAGCACGATGTGATGTATGGGTGTCTGTGGTGGGTGATCTTTCCGGTTTCAGACGCACTCTTAATTTGTTTTGGACACTGTTTTAAAATTGCGTCTTAGCAATGTTCGCAATGCACAAGAAGCTAGTGTCGCAGTTTGACCGCCAATAGGTACGCTGCCTCACAAGTCGACCTCAAATACTAAATACCGAGTGATGCTGTTGTTCGACTTGTGTTATGACTCGGGGCAGCTATGAAGATCTATGAAGTATGTTGCGCTAGGTCTTCGCTCCGGGTTTCGTGAAGGTATCATGGACCATGGACATATGTGATACGTGACATTTGCAACAGGCCCAGACACAGACATGCACAAACAAGTTCACTCGCGTAAGGCCATCTACAGGCCTTCCTTTTGCAGGCTCATGGCCATAGTACTGGCACAATTTAAAAGGCTTGCGTTGGCAGTGCAAGTGACTCCCCTGCACCTGGTTAACATGCTGTAGTCCTAATCTTTCGATAGGTTAAAGAGCTCAAGTCAAACCCTAACTTCGACCAAGCTTCAGAAGCATAACCAAGTCTCTATCTAAATAGAGAGTTCCCAATGCGGCAGGTGTCTCCTTGGACTATTCGCCCAACTGGGGTGGATGGTTTTATGTGGACACGGGCTTTGCCGTCATGTTCATGTTCGAGGCCATGGCACGACCATGAGATCAGGTGGATGGTTGTAATCATATAGGGTCAACTAGATGCTTTTCAAGGGCAAACGGATGACGGTCCTATGTGCATGCAGCTCACGACCATGATCACTTTGCATTGCTGATGTTGCTCGTTTGCCTTCAGTGCTGTCATTGCAGGCATTTTGTTGACGCATTCAGTGTGACTACTGGAAGTACTGGACCGTAACATTGATTACTGCTGTAACGGCCACTTCATCAGATACTGGCGGTACTGGTGTGGGTTGAGTTCCGCTGCGATGGTGGCGCTGCCCAGTATATGATCACTCCTACCACCGCTACCAGCACTGTTACCACTACTACTACTACTACTACTACTACTACTACTAGCCACCCCCGCCCCCTACCAACCGCCTGGCGCCCCAATCCACCACCATCATCGATCATGATCATCCGTCATCAGACATCAAACATCAAACATCATCATTCGTCATCAAACAACAAACATCATCCATCATCATCTATCATCATCCCCGACATCACGAAAGT